GCAAGAAAGAGGCAAGACGCCGAGGGAACGGGCGGTCCTCTGCGGGGAAATTGGAGGATGTTCAGCTACAAACTCATTTCCTCGGGCACGTGGCGTGGCGGGGCGCGGCGGGGGCGGCGGAGGGAGACTAGTCTCCCCGTGAAGGGTGGGTTGGGGAGCTGAAAAATGTCACCTGCTTGTGCCAGCGATGGCGTCGCTCCTGGAAGATACCCCCCTCCCTCCACCCGCCCTCATCCCGAGCCCCAGGCCGTCTCCCCTACCAATGACGCGTCAGTTGCTGCGAAAAGCGTCGCAGATGAGATTTATAGATTTGTCCTCTTGTGGCGTCCCACTCGAAACGAGACTTCCCTTCTCCCTCCTCGCCCTGAAGAGGCGTGTGCTATCAGCCGTGACGAGGAGGCATCGCTCGCAGGCGCAGCAGGGAGGCGACTTCTCACAAGACGACACGGGCGGCACGGCGGCCGGGGGACAGGCAGGGCCCGGCAGGGCAGGCCGGCCGACGGAGCAGCAGCTCGCCAGTCCCGGTGCTCGAGGCCCAGCAAGTGGCCCTCTCGACCCCTCAGTCTCGTCCCGCAGCCGGCCCCGCACGCCACGGCAGCATCGGGGTTAACGCGACAGGAGGGCGTGCCCCCGGCCCCGGCCCGACCGGCTGGCTGGCTGTTCTCCAAGGCTCGCTCGCCGTCTTCCAGGGCTCGATTTGAAATCATTCCCTGCGACCCTTGCGAGTTCGCCCCTGATTGGATCTGGAGTGGCTGGGGCCAATAAGGGGGTAGACCCTGCAAAACTTGAACGGGTGGGAGTGACTCAAGTCCGTGCTTCGTTTAGGTTATGAAATGATCTTGTCAAACGACAGGACTGGGCAAGCTCAAGGTGCGCGCAAAATTTCCGCCTTGGAGAGAGTGCGATTTAGTTTTCAAGTGTGCCAATACATACCCTTGCTATTGATGCCCCAGGCCAGGACGTGGACTTCTGGGTGGCAATCTCGCTATGTCCGCGGATACGGAAAGGACAAACAAATGACGACAGCCGTCTGAACAGAACGACAACAAGGACCCAAGTTTGGTCTATTTTGATCTGCTTGAATGAGGTTTTTGTACAGAGAAGATGACTGAGGGCGACTATATGACTCGTTTCAAAATGTAAACAAACAAAAGACCATTTGGTGCACTCACATTTAGAGGACGCAGTACCACACAACATACTTTCTTTTTGTTTTTGTGCGATGCGTCGCGGACCGCGCACGAGGGCGCGGGGGTTGGTGCAGGTGGCGCTCCCGTCCGCGTCTGTTGCGCAAATCACGCTGCGTCGCTGCATCACAGACTTGGAGGACAAGGGACAAGGCTTGCGACGAATCTGGAGCAACGCGTGCCACCCTGCCACCCTTGTATGCAAGCCACCAACATGGAGATGATGGAGACGCACCCGGGTGACCAAATCGAGAAGAACATGGAATACATAAATTCCTTCGGCTACAAGATTGTTCAAAATATGGCCTCTGAGCGAAAACTGCCGGCCAATCTGAAGGTAAGGGTGGCTTTGAAACCCTTCTATTTTTTTCGCGCCTGGCCGCCCATTTTCAGCCACTCTTTTAAGCTCAGCAGATTTTTCAGAGATTATTCGTAAATCTACGCTGTAATATATCAGTGTCATCGCTTTGAGCAAATCGGGCTTCTTACCTCACATACCCTTTAACCTCTAAAAATCGGTTACGCCCCCTTACCATTTCGGGGCGTACTTCACTCCCACGGTTTATTGAAGTGGATTTGTTGTGCTGTGTAATTTTGTCACGCGTCGTGTCGATGTAGGCCCCTTGCTCGTTGTCACTCCTCAACAGCCTATCAAGCATCTTATGTATCGATATCATTTATAGGTGGGGATGCGGGGGTGCTCTCGTTGCGCAACAGGTCGCGGGTGTTTATTAAATCTTATGACTCTTTTCTCACTCCTTGTTAGTCTATAACCCTTTAATTAAGGGTTAGACCTCTTATGAGATATATATTTTTAGAACCCATTTTTGGTGAAAGGGTTATGTCGCCGATACGGATTTTCGTCATTGGCCGCGAATGCCGCTGAACCTGAACCATGGGGTGGGGTGAGGGCAGTGGGGAAGCATTTGCACACCCCAATGTACAGAACAAACCAAACTGATCAATAATCGAGGTGTTGGTGATACCTCAAACTTTCAGATTTGTGCACTACCTACCTTTTATTTTACCTTACCAATTACTTGTAAGGGATTAGTATAATCATCTAAGAAATATGCTATTTCTTAGAAAAGATAAATCAGTCTTTTTATTAGACAGTCCCCAAGACTCAACCAGAAGGAAACGTGTTTTTTTCTATCGAAAGCCTGTGATAATCTGAATACAAGTCGACGAAGAAATGTATTGCTGATTACAAATAACAATCAAGCATTTAAAATTATCAATTCTTTTGATTTGAGTTACTTACGTTTTCTATGTGAAAATAAACTGTAGTTCTATCCTCCTGTCTGAAATGAACTAAAACTAATTGCAATGTCTTTTAGTAGAACGAACTTATTCAATGTAACGTTTCATACTATATTTCCCTCAAGTTAATCTCCAGCAATGTGACATTGTATAACATGTGAAAAAGTCACACACTCAATTTATTTATTTTATTTATTTTGTCCTCAACTTCTATGTTTTATTTTTCAGAAACTTGAGATGGCAAGACTGATCGCCCTGCACAACGCTGGTGCCAGAGTCGAGCTGAACAATTTGCTGAGTGATTTGAAGGAGACGCGGAGCAGAACGAGGCGCTTGGCGTTGACGCACGCGGCATCGACCCCCATGCCGGGCTACGGCACGACCACAGCCGAGGCCGACTCGGCTTCCGCCAGTCCGGACCAGGAAGATGACGATGACGAATATGCGGTAAGGAGGTCTAAAAAGTAATTGGTAACTACGTACTACCTCTCGAACACGACTATGACCACCCCTCCGGGGGAAAGCGGAGTGTGGAGGGGGAGCCAGACTAGAGGGGAATCCCCGTGCGCCTTTGGTCCGGCTATACCCCGCGCCGAGAGCGTGGGGTATATGGACACCAGCTTGAGGACGACCTGTGCGAGAGAGCTCGAAACATGTTAGATCAATTTGTGTCTTTTGAATTAGTTTGACGAGGACGACGATGACGACTTCATCGACAAAGCCAAGAAGGCATCGCGGCTGCCCCGCAGTGGCCCAGCGCAACCACGCACCACTGCAGTGCGGCGCAGCAGCCACGGCTACGACGTGGCGAGTCCGAGCCCGCCGCCTACATCGGCCGTGAATCAGGCTCAAGGCATGGTTCCTGGGGTCATGCCGTCCGGTCACCTTGCTAACACTGGAGGTCCGGGACTTCCAGGACCCTCAGCACTCGGAGGACCCCCAGGACTGACAGGACCTTCAGGACTTGCAGGACCTGCAGGCCTTGCAGGGTCTGAAGGACACATAGTGGGCCACCTCGGGACGCAAGCGATGCAAGGGCCGGAGGATGCTCCCAAGCCAAGGAAGCCCACTTACAGGCGGCCGTCGGCTGGCTCAAGTGGCCTTGGAGCAGCCAACAAGAGAGTTAGTAAAGGTGGCAGAGTTATCAAACCTCGCCGCGATGGAAGTTTTGTGTACCCCAAGGTGTGAGAACCTTAATGCTTTTCAAAGCATCAGTTAAAATTTTCTGTTCTTTGTTAATGCATGTGGAAGTTTTATCACTCTCTATTTCAGATGACTCATCTTCAAAATTCATTGCCATACCAGTCAGTTCATGCACCCTCTCCTGGATTCAGTCAGAGTGTACCAGGGGAAACTACCAGTTACGATACGCCCCATGTTCCTCCAGCAGCGAGTGGCTTCAGAGCACCTCCACCTTATACCCCTGCTGTGCCCATTGGATCGTCACTGGCCAGCTCAGCTAGCTTGAAGCCATGGTCCGCTTCAGGAGGAGTCCCCCAACAGGCTCTTCCAAGCCCACATTCCTCAACTAATCTTTACCCAAGAAATAGTATTCCAGCAGGACCCATTGGAAAGCTGGGGGTGCATAGCCAACCATCACCATATTCACCTGTTCTGCCAGGTATAGTTTAGGGGAATTGGATTTTTTTCTTGAATTATTTTGTAGATAGCTGGTTTTCCACGCATCGGTAGCTATTTTTCTTCCCTAAGTTAATTATGTCTCACTAAATGTGTCCTTTTCAAAGGGTTTGCAAAGGCAGCTCAGATACAGTGTCCACCTAGACCAACTCAAAACGCTCAGAGGAATGTATATAATAGTTATCCAACTATGATGCAGAATTCAGAGTATAAAACAAACAATATTGTTAATCCATCATTGGCATACCCTCCTAGTCATTTTCAGAAAGGGTCTGATTTTTCATATCTGCCAAACCAAGATATTCCAAGTTCCAGACTTGTGGGTATTGAATCTGCTCAAAGAAATTCTGCAAACACATATCCTCCATCTCAACCAGTTGGTCCCTTTGAGGTTCGTACTTAATCTTTGTAACTAAAGCATTGTTTCTTATTTCTCTCCCAAAACTAAAATTAATTACCTAAATGTAGAATGCTGTCTCTGTGTAAATCATCTAATCTTCTCTTATTTTGCAGTCCAATAGCGAGACATACAGGCAGATGTCTAGCCCATATCCGCGGTCCCATATTGGTCCAGAAACTATGATTCATTCTCAAGTGGTAAAACCGATTCCTCTTCCTTTACCTGTTATGCCTACAAGGGTGAGAATTTTGCATAAATTTTGCATTTTCTGGACTGTATTAATTAAAAACTTTTCAAATTATTTCTTTGATACTTAATAGGAGTGTCCCCCAAGTGGTTATATTTCTGGAAATTTGGAGTATCTCTTCAATCTGAAATCAGAACACCTACAAATGCCACTTCAGCTAAGCCCGTACTGGAAGCCTGCTAAGACAAATTGTGTCAGTTCATACAATACTCCTATCTGCTTCACAGGGTATTTCAAAATTCTTTTATTGATGGTTTTGGGTCTATGAATGCAAATAGGTGTATTTACTCTACTGACGAATTTCTTTTGATTTGCAGTTCTAGTCCTGGTTTGTACCAAGAGGCATCACATACCATACCCCATCCACTTATTACATCTGGGCCTTGTTATGAGGACAGCCCTTTCCAGCCCCTATTGAGGACCAATATTGGACTTCCTCAACCTCCATCATATGACTACCCTACTAACTTAAACTTTGAAGTACCTTCCATTAATTTTCAGGCTCATAATCAGCCAAAGCAGTATTTTTCTGAGTCTCAGATTCCAAATCATGTACCAACCCAGTATGAGATGCCACAACATATGTCAACAACTTATCAAGAACCATTTCAGTATCAACAATCTCCTTTGAGTTCCAACATAGAACAGTACTCCTCTCATCCAATTCATGGGAGTTATCAAGAGCAGAATTCTTGGGCATTGTCAGAACAAGTGACTCAAACTTGGACACATGACAGAGATGATCCTAAATATAGGCCTTCAGTGCAGCTTCATCAGCATGAATTAATGCGAAGGCCACATAAGCAGGTGCAGCATCCTATGCAATCAAAACAGACTGTTCAAAGGAAGAAACAAACTCAACCCTATGGTTACCCTCAACAGACTGCCCGTCAAGGAAATGCACATATTCAGGAGAAAAGAGGCACATATCAAACCAATCATCAAAGCCAACCCCTTGCATCTATTGGTAAGCAAGACATTGAGAAGTCTGCTGGTGGATATGTTCTCAATCAGCAAAATGAAGCACAGAAGCAGCGGAGGAACTTATCCACGTTTCAGCAATCAACTGAACAAAATATTCAAAGTTATAACCAGCCCTCACAACAGAAACCATCTCCTATTGTTCCTCAAACCGCTCTCTTTCCAGGGCAAGGTCCACCTCTCAAGAAGCCTTGTTACCAATCAAGCAAAACTACTCTACAAGATTCAGCTGTTTCACCTCAGCCTTGTAAACTGTCATCTCCTAAACAAATTGTTCAGAAGCCTTGTTTGTCTGCTTCCACAACAACAGAAAGGCCTCAGCTTCCTTTCTCTGAATTCCGCGGTCAAAACAATCAGCTTTCTTTACCACTCATTTATGACTACCTCACATCTGCTGAAAAGCAGGTTTGTCTTAATTTATCTCTCAGTTGTTTTAGTTTTCACTGTTTTTATTTTCTTTACATTTACATAGTATGTTCATTCTTTACTTAATCTCATTGTTTTTAATCTTTAGATGGTACCTTCACCGAAAGAGAGTCAGAACAATTTTACTGATTCGTCCACCAGCTATGATCTGAATGGTAACATATCTTCATCTTTTATTGAGGATGTTTTACCTACTTTAAGCCAACATGCCTTAAATTCCAAAATACAGGTGTGGTATATTTGAAGTAATTATTTTATCTTTAATTTGAAATGGCTACAGAGTGATTTATTTCTCATGTTTTCTTTAGGACTTGGTATATCAACACAGAGCAGATGAACTTGAGACCAGTGCTCATTCCACTGTAAGTGAAAATTACAGTGATCAGAGAATATGTCAGTCATTACAGGTGCATACTGTTTCATCTCTGCCATCTAAGTCCAAAATGTCGAATGTTTCTCCTGATAGTAGCGAACAAGAACCACAACCAATTGAAATGAGTTCTATTGGTCTTCACTTTGAAGCAGACAAATCTGACAAGCAAGTTTATGCTGAACTTAGCCCTCTCAAAGTAGATGTAAATGATAACAATTTTGGAAGCTCTACTTATGCTCAGCTTGTTCCTGTACCATTTGAGAGTAACCATGTGGAAGAATGTGGAAGCCAAGCACATCAAATAGCAAATGTTGAGCAATCCTTACATCCAGAGGCTTTCAAGGAGGGCATTGCACTTTCTGGGACGAAAAAAATTGACACAACTCTTGAGAAGGTAATGAAAACGGATGGAAACTCAAAGCAAGTGGTATTCTTATGCAGTGATGGAACAGGAGAGCTTGAGTATATGACTCTTGATGTGACTCAGGAAGACACTATGGATACATCAGTTGGAAGTTTACCAGGAACTATTCCTGCCTCGCCATGCACATCAGATGTTGGAGAGCTCAATCTGCTAGATTCAATAGAGGAAAATGGAAAACATTCCACCCAATTTTTAAGCAATGGATCTAGTCATATCAGTCAGGTTAGTACAATCCCGGTGACCCATAGTGATTTGTCTACTGAAACTGCTTCCAGTATAAGTGACTACTTGAGCACCAATTCCCCTCCCCAAGTTACATCTGATGCTGACTATTTAAGTACCAAGAGTGAACTGGTGATTAACACAGAAAACATACTTTCAACTGACAGTCCTGATCCTATGACAACAAATAGTAATTATTTTAGTGCTGAACAAGTTCCTATGGTAGCACACAAATCTATTGGTATGTCTAATGATGCCATGGAAGTATTGCCTCTAGGAGGTGAGATACATTTGGCTGATAACACCAGTGCAGTACAGCTTCCTATCAGTCCGAACGGGAATGATAATGTTGTGCCATCAGTTAGTGAACCTCTCATGCAAACCAAGAATTCTGAAATGCAACATGAAGTTCCGTCCATTTTGAGGGAAGCTACAGGCTCGTCAGGAGAGAGTGGTAGTTTAAGGAATGTGCCCTCTGGAAGTGAATTTTTGGAGTGTAGCAAAATTAATACTGAGGGCAGCGGAGCCAATGAAACTAGTGGAAAGGTATTACAAGTTGAAGATGGAACTGAGATAGCCTCTACCAGTATAATCCCAGACGTCCCAGAATTACTGAAAATCATGAAGACGGAGACAATTGATATAATTGAAAATAAAGAATACTTAGAAAATTATGCAACAGCTGAACCTCAAAGTGATGATCAAATGAATGTACTTACTGAGCAACCACTTGATTTAAATGCTGATTGTAGTAACATTGCATCTGATTGTGCTCAAAACCTTAAAAAGGGATCAGGTCAAGAAAAGAAGGATGAACCAGTAAATTTGACCAAAGATCAATCAAGTAATCTGTCAGTAGAGACAGAGATCAATAATCTTCCTCTGGGAGAAGAAAATAGTACAACCACATGTGCAACCAGTACTGATAGTAGTGAAGAAAACATTAGCATAACATCAAAATCAACTGATGTAAATATGAATGTGATTAGGGAAGGATCTGATAATGCTGTGGTTCTTGAAATGGTAAGTCTCACTACTAACTTTGTCCATTTAAAAATATAGTCATTATGGCTAGGAAATTTAAATGCTGTCATTGTTGTATAGGATTCTTGCTCAGCTAGTCCATTGCTTCGTGGCAAATCAGCTGGCAAAACCTATCCTGGCAAACAAGTACGGCAACCAGTTCGTTGCTCTCCTAGGACTTCTGGAAGACCTAGTCCCAGTTATGCTTTTCCAACAACTAATTTTCCTCTTCGCTTGGAGTCTCCAGCCAGAGTAAATCAGTACTTCTTTGGCTTAATTAAAAACTATTTTTCATATGCTTTTAACTGTTTAGTTAAAACATTGATTTCTTGCTGTTGCAGGGCCGTAAACCCTGTCCAAATGAGGAGAATGGCTGTCCCATTGAATTACCATCTGCCCAGTTATCTAGTCACCACTTGGTTTGTGAATACACCTCTATTGAATGCCCTGCAATTGGCTGTGAGTGGAATTGCATTACCAAAAAGTTATGCACCCACATTCGAGAGGTTTGTGTCGACTACCTTGGCATTTATCTAATCTGAAATATTTTGCCCCACGATTTGATAATTTTTCTGTGTGCAGACTCATCGGTCAGCTATAGGTGCTGGAACAGATTCCAGGCATACAGTGTCAGTGCATCAAATACATCAACAACAACGTCTAACTTTTTTAAGAGAAGTTTCAAGAAAGTTGTTTGTAGTTTGCATTCATGCATATGGAAATGACATATACGCATCAATTCAGGTCCTAAAAATTATTTAAAAATTTGCTGTGTTGTCTGTAATTTTGTGACCAACTAAAGTTTTAATTTTTACAGTATATTGCATCAGGCCGTGCTGAAAAACCAATATCTGCAACTGGCACTCTGGAAGTTATTGACTTTGTTGGCACACCTCATGCATGGAGAGGAATGATTGGTCCAATCCAACAAGGTCTCAAATTTTTACGAGATAGTGGAAATTGTTTACAGGTATTTTCCACCTCACAAACTTTGACGTCCTATTGCAGTGCCTTCTGCTTTTCAGTTTTGGAGCTGTTTGGGGGAACTGTAAAGGTTTGCAGTAATTTCGTGTTTGAGAGGAACTTATTTGTTGCAGGTAACTTCTCAGTGTTTAGGTGCCATACCTGACAGCACCATTACATTTCACACTAATATCAGAGTAAACCATGCCCAACATGCAGCAGCATCAGCATCATCTAGCAACAGTGACCCTCTCTCTTAATATATATTTAGTTATGTAAATCAAAGACAATATTTTTCGTTTATTTATTTTCATTAGTGTTATTTATGAGTTCTCTACTTCTACAGATTAAACTGTTAGTTATTTCTGTAAGTCAACATCTATCGCATTAAGCTCCCAGCCAGCCTGAATCATATTGTCATGGGGTAACGCTCCGGCAGGGGGTAGAGCCGGTCGCTCCCTGGTTTGCGCTGACGGCAACGCCACCTGTCGTGGGGTAGCGCCACTTCGCTTGCGCCCTGCAGACTCCGTCCAGTAGCGTCGACTGAAAGAGTACTGTTGCGACTGAACCAATTTAACGCTACAACTGGTTACCACGTAATCCACAGACATTCCAGAGGAGCAGCCAGATGAAAATAGCGCTCACTTCAGTACTGTAGTGTGTTCCAGCAGCGGCCGGATAAGACGAGGCCACATGAAGGTGCCTCTTGGTCGAGCCTTAAGCCCCACCACATGAGCCACCCATAGCGGCAAAAAGC